ATCAGACTTTCCAAAACTTTTCCCACAACTGGGTCTATAATTACTGGGACAATTTTTATCACCTTCCTTGAAAAGAAGTTACTTTAGCTAACTTCCAATCCTCTGGATACCGCCCACTATTGAAGGACCGACAAAATATAGTAGCAAGTGGTTCACATATCCAATCTTCAACCTTCTTCAAAACCCTTGGGGAAATGCATCTGGCCCAGAAGCCTTATCACTTTTTAAACTTCCCAATTTTTTCTTAACAAGCTCAGAATTAATGGAATCATATTTTGTTACCTTGTTTCCATCTATCAACTGTTTGAGATGAAGAATACTGCTTAAATCTTCATTAGCAAAGACTGAAGAAAAAGCAGAATTTAAAGACCTAGCAATTTCATAATCATCAGATACAAGCCTTCTTTTATCATCCCTCAAGGGTCCTACCCCATCTTAGCATTTTGATTACCTTTAATGTACTTAAAGAAATCCTTACTGTTAATTTTTATATTTTCTTTTCATCCATCCTCTTTGATGTCCTAATTTCATGTTTAACCAACTTTCTTGATCTTCTATAATATTCTAAATCTCCTGTCACGTCTTTTTACATAGGTCAAGTATATTATATCAACATGTCATTACAGTCCACTCTGCCACATCTAGTTATTGAGGTTAAGTGTATTTTATTAACATGTCAATTTAGTACACGTTGCCATATCTAGTTTACGAGGCTAATTATATTATCATGTCATTACAGTTCACGTTGCTGTATCTAGTTATTGAGGTTAAGTATGTTATATTAACATGTCATTACAGTCCATGTTGCCATATCTAGTTATTGAGGCTAATTATATTATCATGTCATTACAGTTCACGTTGCTGTATCTAGTTATTGAGGTTAAGTATGTTATATTAACATGTCATTACAGTCCACATTGCCATATCTAGTTATTGAGGCTAATTATATTAACATGTCATTACAGTCCACGTTGCAATATCTAGTTATTGAGGCTAATTATATTACCATGACATTACAATTCACGTTGCCACATCAAGTTATTGAGATTAAGTATATTAACATGTCATAACAATCCACGTTGCAAGATCTAGTTGTTGAGGTTAAGTATATTATATCAACATGTCATTACAGTCCACTCTGCCACATCTAGTTACTGAGATTAAGAATATTATAGTAACATGTCATAACAGTCCACGTTGCCACATCTAGTTATTGAGGTTAAATATATTAACATGTCATTACAATCCACGTTGCAAGATCTAGTTGTTGAGGTTAAGTATATTATATTAACATATCATTACAGTTCACATTGCCATATCTAGTTATTGAGGTTAAAGATATTATATTAACATATCATTACAGTACACGTTGTCACATCTGGTTATTGAGGTTAAGCATATTATATTAACATGTCATTACAGTCCACGTTGCCACATCTAGTTATTGAGGTTAAATATATTATATTAAGATGTCATTACCATCCACGTTACCTCATCTAGTTATTGAGATTAAGTATATTATATTAACATGTCATTACAGTCCTCTTTGCTATATCTACGTATTGAGGTTAATTACTTTAAAATGTCATTGCATTCCACGTTGCCTTATCTAGTTATTGAGGTTAAGTATATTATATTAACATGTTATTACAGTCCACTTTGCTATATCTACGTATTGAGGTTAATTACTTTAAAATGTCATTGCATTCCACATTTCCACATCTACTTACAGCCACCTTTTTCTTAAGGAATATGTAAAAAATTTATCCTTAAAAATTCTCCACATAACTCAGCAGTCCAATTCACAACAGATAATTATTGTTGCATTCCTTCTAAATTTGTTTTTTTGACATTTGTAACCAAAATATCATTATCTCCACATGCAGCAAAATATCAGACCTAATAGAGCAATGATCACTTGCACCTAGATGTTTCCCAATTTCCACCCTATCAACAATTTCTGTATTAGAAGTTAACAATAACTTTAAAACAGCATTGTTTGTTAAACAGTTTCCAAAAACCTTTCTACTATTATGAGAATGAAACTTTGAAATCTGAGTGCAAACACTAAAATTATTAGTGACACTGCCCCCTGTAACAATTATTTCTTGCCTTCCTATCATAATGATCCCTGTTAATTTTGACTCTGTTTAATGTGTGTTGTTAGCTGTGACTTCGTGATGGGAAGTCAAAAATGAAGAATTGTTTTCTGTGACATTGTGATGTTCTCTGATGAATACTCACTTTGAAACTGATAACAGATACCATATTTCAACACGTTAAAACAAGTGTGTGATGGTTATGTAATAATTACAAGTCTGAGTAGACATGCCTTAGTCTAAGAATCAAGCTGATTGCAATCACCATTCATCTTCAACAGTGCACATGATCAATTACACAGGCCTGCAACGGTTTTATTGTCAAAAACTTTTACATGTTCTATGGTAATTCCTGTATACTGAATACGAAAATTATATCCAATTCTCTCAGTGACATACAGATTTTTCACAAAACTTCATAACGCAATACATAAAAAAGAGACCACAACATGCAGTTTTGAGAATATAAGATGTAGATTTCGCAAATAAAAATTGGATGATATATTGTTTGATATCAATGTTCTTCTCTTTTCTTCAGTTTGTTTGTATTTTTGTTAACAAACGTAGTACTAAAAATTTTCATTGTGGTGAGTGAAATAATAATTTGATCTAAGTAAGTTTTTCTTCCGATTTATAAAAAATCCTTACGTGATAAAAAAATGAATATTATTTTCAAAATCTGCATAGCTGATTTATGGAAAATCCTTTATTAAAACAAAAACAACGTTTATGAAGTTTAAATTTACAGGCCTGTGTTATTAACCATTTTATAAAAAAAAATAGCTCCTTGATAATCCAATTAAAGATGTTTTTTTTTATTGTAAACTGTGTAGGTATGAAGGCTGGACTAATCAGGTCATCAGCCTGACAGCTCACCCATGAACATGCTAACCAATCTGACAGTACTCTCTTATTTAATGATAGCTGTTTGACTGAAATCTCTGCACAGACAGAATACCATGCAACATTCATGAGCTCAATTATTGTTAATATGGGTCAAGCAAATTTATAATGCATACTATGGGCATACACATAATACCTGCCATGTTCGATATCAGTAACTACTGCAGTTAAAGTAAGTAACAGCATTACACTAAAAGGAATTACTTTTTTCACACACATGAACAAAAATTTCAGTTTGTAAATATACTCATATAACAGTTTTGGTGCATGAACTTGAAAATCTGTACATAAAATACCCTAGATTCCAGGTTATCAAGTTAATACACTGCTTCACTACAAATTTTGTATTGAGCTCACAATTTAGAACTAAGACAATACACTGCTTCACTTTAAATTTTGATTGAGCTCACAATTTAGAACTAAGCTAATCTAATACACTACTTCACTTTAAATTTTGTATTGAGCTCACAATGTGCAACTATCATAAAATGCATTTCTATTATCTGTAACTTACAACAAGTGGAAAGTTTTGTGTTAACATCACAACCTTTAACATTTGAGGTTTATGTCATACTGTTTCAGTATTACTACCATTGTTTACAGAAACAAATCTGCATGTCATGCAATTCTATACTTTCTATTGAAATGAGTGCTGCCCCCACATGCATGTAAACATGTTTTCTATAGTTTCTTCCTGTTTAGATTTTACAAAAGTATTTTCTTGTCTTCAAATATTTTTATTTTTGTTCTGGTAACAGTTAGTACACAGCACTGTTTATAAAACAGAGAACTATACATTTTGTCCAAACTTCATTCAAATTAGTGGTTTTAACTTACCTCTGGATCTCGCTGAAAAATTACAACCCTTCCTCCTTTATCCCCAGTAGCAAGCAGTTCTCCACTGTGGTTGAATTCCACACAGGATACGATATCAGCTAAGAGGTACATAAGTAATACTGAGTCAAAAAAAGCAATTATAAACACAAGGACTGAAACTAACATTTTGATCACTGACAAATGTTTGTCAGTTACTTTTAAAGTTAACTCCAGATGCTTCAGCTACACTGACAAAAAAACATATGCCCTTAGCATATAAAGCTGGGCAATTAACTTAATTAATTGAAATAATCAATTACCTATGAGCATCAATTAGTGTTCTCACATAAAATAACTGATTAATCAACATTACAATTAAATCAAGTAATGTCATGAAAATAATCAACTAATCAAAATTAGCATTTCCAGTTTTTACTGTTTTAGATTATTCTAACTATCCAAGTAACAGAACTATTGCTATTATGATTTCTCATGATTATTTGAAATTAAAGTTTGTTTAGCTTAATCAATTAGTGTTAAGACTCATGAAAATAATCAACTAGCCGAAATTAGGGTTTCTTAATATTCCAACAACAAGCAATTGAAATATTATCATTATGGTTTCTCATAACTATTTTTTTTATTAATTCAAGTTTGTTCAGCTTTGTACCAGCACAGCCTTGTGATTATGGATGTTTTCTCATGATTCAATGATCTCGAGTTCAATTCCTGTTGCTACCAAACATGCTTGCCCTTTCAGCCACGTGGGCCTTATATTTGCTTCTGAACTAGGGTAAAGCTGATAAGGGTATCTGCCACCATCACTAATTTTAAACTGTTGACTAGAGTAAAGTCAACTAGATGGTAACATTCACCATCAACTCTCAGGCTATGCGTTGTTACATAAAGTGTAAACTTACTGTTTCTACATTGTAATTTATAATTTGCACAACTTTATTCTTTAAAGTTAAATAAATTAAAAATTTACTTTTTCTACATTGTGTATGTGTTTGTTTGTAACACTACACCAATTACTTTCCTGAACTTGTGTTTCAGTAGCTGTTGTGAATGCAATGGCATGTCTCAAACCTGGAATTCTGATCATGGGGCTAACTCTCACGGAACAGAATTCTTTAACAATACAGTCATGCCAGCCTTTTAACCATGTGATAAATAACAAATTTAAGTGCACAAAGTGATTTTCAATAATCAATAACAAAATCATAAATTAATACAGCATTTAAACTTGCAAGCACCAATCATTCTAAGGTAACAAAACAAAAATACTACATATAAATTTGTTTCTAAAATGTACTTTATATTGTATAAAATAATACAGTAGGTCACCAATTATTTGGACTAATTGGAACCATGGGTGGTCCAGATAACCCAAAATTTAGATATTTTGACATCATTAAAAAAATTGTATCTTGAACATATATTTTACAATATTTATCTGCTAGCTTTTTCCAGATTCACCTTTTTTTTAACTTCTTCACAATATCCACTTTGTCACTCAATGAAGGAACCATTCTTTTGTGTTTGGTAGACATTTTCACCCAACAAAGAGCAACTATGATTTAAAGCAGATTAAACACATTTTTTATTTTTAATGAAACACAAAGAAGGTCTGTACTTAATAAGGTTAATGTCCCAACAGACAGTTCTTCAGCAAGATCTACCCTTTGCTACGAAGTGATACAAGCATATGAGGACACATTTAATATTTGTGTGGTTTTCTTTTTACAAAGAAAATACATACATGTATGTACATATTTTTTATTTTCAAAATTTGATCCAGATAATCAGCATTCCACTGTATTATAAAACAATATTCTGTGATCACTTATGTATAAAGAGCTCTGACTGCAATAAAGCCTTCATAAGGCCTAATGGGGAAATGTTCTGTGCAATAACTTGACGACCCTAGACAAAAAGGTCAGACCCTAAAAGTTTTACCTCTTTTCCAAAAATGTCAGAGAACACAAATGAACATTTATCACTTAGCAACATTTTTATCTATTACTGGCATGAGGAAGTTTCATAATGAACCTGTCACAAATCAGAAGTTTGATGAAAACTAACTTAAGATTATATCAGGAAAAAATTTCATATCATAATTAAAATATATTATAAGATTGTAGTATTTTCATTCTATCATTATCATGCTAATTTAGCAAAATTAGCATTATACCCTCAATAAAAACACTTTGTTAGATGATTTATCGTATGTTGCTTCTTAGTATTTGTGTACAAGTTTCACATTTTTGTTTTCCTAAAATACAGAACTTAAACATTTTTTTTTCCAGCAATGCTGATTTTATTTTATTGACAGGAACTGTACCAGTATCCTTTTTATAAGTAACAGTTTCTCAAAGTATCAATCTCTAACAATCCTATCCACTTGTTTAACATAATATGAAGCATACAATGATCTACATGCTACTAAGTATAGTACCACTTAGCTCATTATGTTTGGCAACATGTTTCTCACTTGCTGTCATTGCTTAAAAATGACCTTTGAATCAGAGAAATAGCTTAACCCTATATCTAGAGGTACATCAAAGTGTGCGTGTTACAAACGTTTTACTTAATTATCTAAATTTAATTATTAAATTACTTTATGATCAATGTATGTCAATAAAGTTGACACAAAAAACTTTATAATACAAATTTTATTGTAAGTTTTAATTCATTATTTCAAAAGTAAATATTAATTCTCAGTCTTCATTTTTACGCATCACCAAACACTTCTTCGCTCCAAACTGCCCATTTTAAAATTTCTTTCCACCCTTATACTATTTTATAAGTTTCCAAGAAGTTACACCTATACACACACACACTTTAGATCAGCGTTTCCCAAACTATGTTCCGCAGAACACTGGTGTTCCAACCGAGATTGATAGGTGCTCCATGAAAAAATCATGACTTTAAATTTAAAAAAAATACTTAACACTTTTTGTATGATCATAACTTATTATAAAATATTTTCCTATGTATTAGAATTAAAAAATATCGATTTTGCATTGAAGAAGAATTATAGAAGATGCCATATCTATTCTACATAATATCTTAATGGCAAGGTTTGTATCTAAAATGTAAGCATAAAAATGTCAAAATTCATTAATACGTAATTTGATTAAATAAATAAATGAATAGTATATAAATCTAGAGAGCGCTGCACATGCAACATACCCTCTACACCAATATTTCACGTGTCTAGTGTTCGGTAAGCTTTTTCTCAGTTGAAAAGTGTTCCGTGGCCACAAAAGTTTGAGAAACGCTGCTTTAGATATCCTGATATAAAATGATAACTTATAGTGTCTATTATTCTTGTTTTGATGAGTTATATGCAATAAACTGAAACTTGCATGCTATATCTCTCTTAGCATAAGCTGTCTTTAAAAAATTAGACTAATTCTCTCTGATATTAACTATTATTTATAACCTATTGAAAGAGAAGAATTTAACTTACTACTTTCTTTTTGAGGCTAGCTCATTCTCATGATCAGTTTTGAGTTATTCTGCATCAATTTCATAGTTTTCTATTGCTGAGATTGCCTTGACTAGGTAAGGAAATGACTTTAATGCACATGCAACTTAGTTAGAAAACCAGTTATATAATAATATTTTAGAACATTTTTTGTTGCATGTTAATATTTTGCTTTCTAAATTGCATACTTAAAATAAACATTAATTACTAACAATACCCCTACAAAAAATACAAAACCCACACATAACTTTTTATGTATACTTTTAATTTATTGTTAAAAACGTACCTAAGATGTAAAAATCAGAAACTGATTAAGTTAGATAAGAAAAAATGAAAAACTTATATAGAAAAAAATACTTGATATCACAAGCATGTCTCACAAATGCCGTATGTTGTAATTTGACCAAGCATGCAAGTTTTCACACTATGATGATTAGCTTTGACACTAATCAAAGTGGCAGTAAAGCAATAAATATAAATGATTTATAATCATTAGCTTTAGCTGTAAGAATAAATAGTGGATAACTGTCTGTAACGATATGCATTCATTCTAGAGAGAAACAAAAAGAATCCTCAATCGAAATGGTGTATTTAAGTGTTTCACACTCACAAAACTCACTTGTTGTTAAGCAATGTTTAAACAACTATATTCAAAAGGAATCCTCAATAGCCACAGAACTTGAAATTCTTATAATACCAAGTATGGGGCATCCATATACCCAATCTGTTTATTACACATCAGGATCTTTACTAGCCTACCCTCAAATTAAAATTCTTTTAGGCAGGATTAGTGTAAGTTAATCTAGGAGACATTGGGCATGGTCAAATACATCAATCAAAAGGGTTTGACCTCCTGAGCCCAAAAGTTTAATTAGATCTCAAATCAATCAAGAGATGATAGAGCTATGAGCTAAAAATTTGTACTTAGAAAAAAAAAAAAAACACTCAGAACCATTCTATGAGCCACTATGCCATGGCTAAAAAGGGTAACTTAGATTTATTTTGTATTCTTTGTGGTTGTTACAACATTGGTCAAATGGAACAAGCCCATATAGAGTGTTAGGTTACTGAAAATAACACCTAAGATATAAAGTTTTACTGAAAAAAATACTTATATTCATTTACGAAGTTCTATAAGTTATGCACAAAAAATTTAAAAATTGTAAGATGAAAAAATTTATTTTTAACCTGTCCTTGAACTTGGACTAGTAAGAGTCTGAGTCAGACTCTGATTCCAGAAAAAATATAATTAATTATTATTATTTTTCTACAAAAGACTTGTAATGTTTAATAAAAGCTGAACATACTTTGTAAAGATAAACTTTCTGCATTAAAAGTTATGGCCCATATGCAGTGTCAATGCTTTTGCATGTAACAATGTGAGAGTGTTCCCTTGTTTATTTAAAAATTATTGCAAATACCTAAATACTTTCTTTTGAAATGCACATTATTATTGATCTACTATGTCAAAGAGTATAACTGTGTTATTTTAAAACCAAAATGAAACCACACATTGTGTTTTGCAATGGTGCAATACCTAGAAATATTTTGTTGTCTAGAGAAAGTTTGGAAAATTAGGAATTATTTTGTATTGTGGATAGTATTAATTTATTAAAATTTGATGCC